GAAAATACGGTAAATTAGTTAATAACCGATTAATCCAGTTGTTTCAGCCCCAACAGTCACAGTGATCAGATGTCTAATCTGTAAATACTTGCAAACAGATGTTCTTTAAATACCTAGACCAAATAGGTGCAGGAGCAATTGTTTCAGCACTGCATTACCCACTTAGTTTCAATAACCGCTTAAAGTGAATTTGATGTGTTGTTCTGGTTCAAAGCAGTTTAAACAGTTGAAAAGACAGCAAAACAATCAGTCTTAATATAGGAATTCTACATTAAATGTTGCAGAGTTTGTTATTCAGATGTATAAAAAAAAAAAACTACAAAAACTTAAATTATTCTAGATGAAAATCATCTAGTGGGTGTTTGAATGTCAGCCCTTATTTGATTACATTAAAACAAGTTTTAGAATAAATAGCAGCACCCAACCTGGGCTTTAAGCATTATTAGCACACCTGAGGACGGAGCACTCTGACGATCACGGCTCTCAGCTGCTCGTGCTGCCTCCTGAAGCGCCTCATGTGATCCAGCCGAGAGTGGAGCTTCCTGTGGGCGGGGCTAAGGCGCCACACCATCTTCAGGTTCTCCTCACGCTTCCTTTTCACAATGTCCCTCAGAAGCACTTGCAACTTCTCGTACTCATCCTCCCAGGTCTGGAACACCTCAAAGCAAGCCACCATGACCTGAGCACAGAAACAAAGGTTAAAAACCACTGTAGGAAGCTAAAATGAGCAAGAAAAAAATTGAAGATCCACCAACACCAACCTTCTCAAATTCCTCGTAAGCAACATGCATGAGCTTTCTGGTTCCCAGAACCTTGAGTAGCTGGGAGCTCAGGTCCCTGGAGATGGCCTCCACTAGTCGCAGTGCTCTTTGAATGGGATACTTGGTGTTTCTTATTTTCTTTAGGTGGGTGAAGATGGCAATGAGTGCCTGGCGGATCTTATCGAGCTCCGAGGCAGCGAGTAGGTCATTGAGGGGAAAGTCTTTCATCAAAGGGTTGTAGTCGTTCACGGTTTCCACTGCTTGTTTCAGACCTGACAGGAGAACATCACCAATCCCCCATGTTTATTAAGCCCACGATAAAAATAAAAAAAAACACACGATAAAAACAAAATAAGGAGTAACAGTAGCCTCTCCCTCACCGGTGTCTGTATCAAAGCTGACGGTTGCGTGGAAACGTTTTCCGTGTTTGAGGATGTCCAGCGTCAGCAGAACCTCTGGACTTTCTCTCTTCTCCTGGATCCTGTTGAGAGCTCTCTCCAGGTTGAGCCAGAAACTGATCTCCTGCAGGGCGGTGCCTGAGGCCGGATCCCGATCCAGTTTAGTTACCTGATAGGAGGAGGTGGAGAAGAGTCAGAAGCAGTGCTGGGAACTTTCCTTAAAAATTTAGCCAAGTTAGTAACTCAGTAACTGCTAAATAAAATTACCGGTTACTAGACAGAGCAACCAAAGCCGGGCGTACACTGTACGGTTATTTCAATCGTTGCACGCAGCTACAGCTCACACCATGCGGCGAAACAGCAGCGTTTAAAAGTTCACAGCTCAGGACTAGGGTTAGGGTTAGGGTAGGACTTCACTGAGAGATTTATTTTCCGCCACACACTTTGAATGCATCATAAACCCCTCCTCTGTTGTGGTCGGTGTCCCAATGGGAAATTCCATTGGGACAAAGTAGCTCTAAATTGGTGACTTAGAAACGACGCTGTCAAGGAACACTATGGACAGCGGAAACATGCAAGAGGAGGAGAGTTTAGTGTCGGAGGTCGTGGATGAGTCTCCTCCGTCACCCATTTTTTATTTATAGGAGGAAAGCGGGGACGAAGATGTTGTGGAAGAGGACGCCAGGGCGGCAGAAGCTTGGTTTGGTGTAGAAGGCTTCCAGCCGTACATGTTTGAGCCCTTGCCTCGCAACGCTGCCAGTTCTGTTAGCTCTACGCCTGCCGAAGACACAGACGTCCATCCTAGTGAACACTGGGACGCAACTCAATGGGAAAGGAAAGGATTCTGATTTCAACCGTTGCGTATTATTAGCTGCCACATATGAATCAAGATGGGATTGGCTGAATTTAGGTGTCCAGGCTGACGTATAACTAACTGGCCTGCATAGGATAACGAAAAAAAACCAAAGATTTTAAGATAGGATTTTTTTTTTTTATTGAAATTTTCTAAATTTTGGGACAATATGGTCTGATAAAGAGTACATTTATATACATGTTTAAGCAAGAATGATTTGACATTTAAATACGACTTTCCTACGACTTTAAGGTAATTTACACATATTGTGTTATATATCCTGTATCACCATTAAGAGCCCCAATATGTTGTGATATTAGACTTTCTTCATATCCCCAGCCCTAGCTAGAAATCCATTTTATTTTTTAAACAAAGCCCTGGAGGCTTTTGTTCATCTCACCTTCTGGATTTCTCTGATCCAGCGGTTCACTCCAGACTGCAGCTGATTGAGGAAGCTGGGATCTTCCACTTTATCTCCAAAGTCGGTGACCTTTGGCTTCTCGCCTCGCTCGTAGCACTGCTTGGCGATGTTTGTGATAGTGGGGTGGATGGGCAGGCTGATTTCTGGAATCTCGATGTTCTGCTGCAGGTGGAGGAGGCCCATCTCCAGCTCGGCAATCTTTTTCTCCACCGATGGAGCCATCTTATCCCCATCCCTACAAGCCACAGCAGAGAATTACATCCATCAGCTCTTCTTAAGGCAAAGCGAAGGAAAAATAAAAGAATCAGTAAATACCTGTCTGCTTTGCCAGACTCCCGTATGTAGGACTTGAAGAAAGGAGCAACAGCGTTGCTGATGAAAGAGTGGAGCGTCTCGTAGGGAGAATCCTCGCTCAGGGTTAGAACCCGGACCTGAGTGGATATGGGCTTATCTGCATCGATGACGCCCGTCCTTTTGATCAGAGCCAAGCTGTAACAGACGAGATGAGAATCTCATTGGCACCCAACTAAAGTTCAGGGGAAGAAATCACAATTTCCTGAAAGCTGTGAAACATCCAGGAGTTAGTCACCTGTTGGACTTGAGACCGTAGCGAATGTCGATGCTGATTTTGTAGCCGATGCTCTCCTTCTCCTCTTCCCCTTCATCTCCAACATCCTCTGGAAGAACAAACAGAAAACTGAGATGCTGAACTGAACAACCAGACCTGGACTAAGTTTTTACTGCACTAACCAGAAGAGGTGTTCAATTCTTCGCCAGTTAGACAGACGTCATAGTAACCAATATTAGCGTCTCCCTTAATAACCTGAATCAGTCGATTCCTATTAAACACCACCAACTGCTGTTTAAACGCCGTTTTGTTTTATTGATCCTCTATATTTTTCAAACAAAGTTCTGAAAGTTATTGACTGCTCCTCCATCTCCCCGTCCCCCAGGTTAAGGGTCTGGGTGTCATCCTCGATAGCACCCTATCCTTTCAATCCCTCACTGGGTCTGCCTAAGCATCAATAGCCTGCGTCCCTCCCTTAAGGGCTGCTTATCCTCCCCCAGCCGTGTATCGCAGTGAGCTTGTCGCAGATATTTTTGATTTATGCCCAATATTGAAGCGTGGTCTGGGCGGTGTTATTCCACGCCACAATGCAAGAGGGCCAATCAGGAACCAGCTGTGGGTCTGAAGCATAAAATTTGACACGGGATCCTGTAAAGAGGCCATCCTTCCTCCTCTAATGGGGGAGCCATGACACCAGGTCACCAACAGCATTTATAGAAATGATTATACGCAACAAGTCAAAATAATAACACTTAACCCTTCACAGGGCACTCAGTGAAATACTTTGAAAAGCCAATAGTGTTATTGTAATTCAGGATAAAACCTTATTTCCTTTGTAACATTCAGAAAATGTGGATATTTTGATGGCAAAAATTATTGTCAATGTGATAACAAGAAATGCCAACTTGCCCAAAACTATATATTAAAAAACTAACAAATGTGCTTATATAAGAAATAATGCTGTAATGCTGCGTTCACATCTAAAGCAGCAGAGGCAGCAGGAGCAGATAGTTTACATGCAAAGTCAAGGGTCGACGCGCATCAAGGCGCGGCAAAACGCCAGCAGCGCGTGGGCTGCAACGCAGCAGCTGCTGGAGTTGGAAAAATTTTACTTTTGCTGCTTGAGGCGCCACATCAACCAATCAGAAAAGCTGATATAGGAGCTGGAAGGGCAACAGACACAGCACTGCTGATAAAGCAGATCACTATGATCACTCCTCTGAAACTGTTTATTAAGGCCTAAATTAACTGAAAATGATGAAATCTGCCAACAAAACCTGTACACTTTTATAATCCTGGTGCCTGTAGTTTGGATTACGTACATGAAAAACGCCTTCCAGTCGCCGCGGCAAACCCCCAAGAGGCGACCGGGCCAGAGGCTGCTGTTGAATGGGATTCCTATTGACAGCGCACTGCTGGTATGTGGGGGTCTAAAAGGCACCCAGACAGAAATAATCTTTGAAGGCAGGATGGTAAACTAGATGAACTGACTGCACAGACTATGTTTTCAGGTGAACTTTCTCACTTCAAACTTCAAATTAAACTACTTTTTACCCACTGATCACAGCAGATATAGCTGCCATTGTTCCAGGCAAAGAAAGGATAGGGTAGCTCCACCCAATGCGCATCAGACCCACTTTTTCTACAGAACAGCAAAAAAAATTCAGCCGCGCGTCAGAGCTAAACTTGTAGAAGCATAAAAAATGAAGCAGCACGCGCGTTTTTGCTGCTCTTGCTGTCTGACACTAGGATAAGAGTGAAAGAAGCACTTTTTTTTTGGGCCAACATAACCTTAGAGGTATTAATGCTGATGGTTGCTTTTAAATTTTGTATTTTATAAACCTAAACATAATTGTTAACTAGGCTTATTAACATTTTTACTTTTCTTTTTAACTCTCCAATTTGCTTTTTACGCCCCCCCAACTTAATTTTACTGTAGGTAATATATCATTCAAGGGCTCATCTAATTGGTCAAATGCCATGTAGCAGAATCTTTGCTGAATGGACGGATGTAAACATTTTTGCTTCTAGACCTCACTGAGGGATGCGGGGGGAGAAATGTAAGGAGACCTGCACCCCCTCCTTACATTGGGAGGGGGTATGCAAGTGATCAAGAACTGTAACTTACCCTATAAAGGGTTAACATTTAAACACTTGCAGGCTGGACTGCAGGAAAACAACCTGAAAACATTACAGTATCCCTCATCAAAAGCCATGAGCAGACAGCAGACTAACAGCGTGGCTGGTCATGAGATGCCCAAACAAATAAACAACACAGCTGTTTAAAAATATAAAGCATAAAGAAGATCATTTCATCCAGCATCTGACTGAAAATAAAGGTTAGCATTGATTAACACTGATTCACATGATAAAAGCCTAAAAGCAGAACAAGCCTTTAGGATGGCCTATTCACTAAGTCACAAAGTTTTTCTGTCTATTTTTGAATAAATGTCAATAAGAACAAGATTTATTAGCTATGAGAAATTTGTACTTCAGTTTACTCAGCAGGTTTAAATCCCATCACTTTAACAGACTGAACTTTAACTAACAGGAGCATCTGGACTAGGGCTGAACGAGTTTGCAAAAATTTTTTATTGGAAACGATAGACTTAACCAGAGTCCATCGTTTCAGGACTTTACTGTAACATTTGCATGAAAAAGTTTTTACTTCCACCATCTTGCATGGATCTGCAAGCTAGAAGTAGGTCTCTCTTCCCTTCTGTGTGCCAGCAAACCCACTATTACCAAGACCTGAAGGGATGGAATGAGCAGATGGCCGCTCACACCGAGCCTGGATCTGCTGGAGATTTCTTCCTGTTAAAATGGAGTTTTTCCTCTCCACTGTCGCTGCAAGCATGCTTAGTGTGAGGGATTGTATGCAATCAGCTAGTTTTCCTTAGATAGAAAACTTTGAATCAGTCTGACTGGATGATCTGGTGAACTGGAAAGTGCCTTGAGATTACTTGTGTTGTGAATTGGTGCTATAGAAATAAACTGAATAGAATTAAATTACTTAATTGCACCTGCATGCAGGTTCAACCCTGTCGGTATCAGAGCATGAATTGACTCATTTTCTTATCAATCTGTACTTTAGCTAATCTCTAAATTGAAAAGATGAAGGCAGGCCTCCATTTTTACTCCAGTTAGGAATAACTCAATAGAATAAGGTTATTGTTAGCTTTAAAATAGGCACCATATGTGCCAAACAATGCAACCAATTTAATTTAATTCCTATAAATGTAGGCTTCTAAATGTACCTTTGAGTGAACTTCTCTCCACCAGGACGGTGTGAACCTGGGGGTCGGAGAGAAACTTCTTCATTTGCTCCACGGAGCTCTTCTCCTCCAGGGCGGTTTCCAGGGAGGCCGGGGCCTCGCCGCCATCTTCCAGCAGCAGAGGAACCAGCTTCCTAATGTGCTTCTGCAGCACCGAGGTGTCCGCCACCGTCTGAACGGCCGACACCTCCATGGTGCCGGTGCCTTCCTCCGTCCCTCCCCCGTCGGACATTCCGCAAACGGGTGGACGGTGACAAAAAAAAGAGAGTGAAGGTGAACAAAGACCGAAAGCTAACGCTGTCAGACAGCCAGCCGGCAGGAGAAGCAGACTACCCGCTGTCAAATCACCGCAGCTAGCCTAGCTTTATTTATCGGCGCAAAGGATCCTGGGAGTTGTAGTTAAACGGAGGAGAAATTCACTGAGGTGTCTGGTCAGGGTACTACACTACCCACAGTCCTCTTCGGTATTTTTTTTTCCTTCAAACTATAAATGACCGCTAGAGGGAGTAAGGGAGTAGTCTCCAATGATGCAGCATTTTCCATGATTATGACAAATCAAGAAACCGCATTAGCTGATCCTATCCACTTGGTTTGGTGCCTTTAGCACATTTTATCAAATAATTCAGGGCTGCCATATTTTCATATCACTCCAAACCTTGGAGTGAGAGTTTGAAACAGTTTGAACAGGAAAGCCTGTCAGGGTTAGATGAGGACAGGAGCGGTTATAGGTTGGAGGTTTTCAGAGGATTTAACTGAAACAAAATGGCAAAATGTGGAATTTTTATAGAACAGAAAATGTTTCCGAGTAACAATAAGTGATCTGTAGTTATGTGGAACAATTTTTTTTACAATATATATTATTTTCTACATTCTGGTGACATTTAGAGAATTGAATTAAAGCAGAATGGCTCTTTTAAATATCTTTTAAACTAAGAATTTCACAACTTTGTTTATTAATTATTATCTGCAGTTCAAGTAAATTAAACAATGAGGAAATAATAAGCTATTACTGCATTACCGGCACTGATAAAGGAACCAGTGCAATCAAAACCTATGCAAACTACAGTGTGTATGAATATTTGATATTAGGCTAACGATTAAAAAGCTTCATTCATTATGTTATTAGTTTTTATACAATTGACAAAACAGCTAAGAAATTCAGACCTTCTAGGAGGCTTTTATAAAAACTCACCATGATGAGAGACAGAACTGTTTCAGTTTGGAAGGTGTGATGGAAATAACGTTTTTAAACATATTCAATGGACCAAAATAAGGATAAATGAATAAGATCAGTAATAATAAAAGAAAAACATCCCTGTGGTTTCTCTTCTATGAATCCTGGATAACCGAGTTGTTCTGCACATCCTCTCTGGATGCTGTTAGTCTTTTCTTGGGGATCTTTTGAAAAATAAAATGCAATGATTCATTTTCATTTAGTGGAGCATCTATGGGTTTAAGAGACAAACCTAAAAGCTTTAAGAATTAAAATATTAATGTTGGTTTAATTACTCCTAAATGCCAACAGAAGATTATTAAACTAGACTGAGCAATAATTATTTAACTTGTGAGGAAAATATGGATTAAAAAAAACACCAGGTAAAGAGAAAAACCATTGGATGTGATCCTGCACTCAGTCTCCACATCAATAATATAAGCTAGATGCTGTATTTTTATCCATATTTACTCAAGTACAAGATTGCTTAAAATCTTTAATAATTTACAAAGAGAATTATCCATTGTCCAGATGAGATAAGATCAAAATTTAAATGACATACCTCATGATAGCTGTCTTTTTTCAATATCTGACACAGTAAATAGGTGGGAATGGACTGGATCTGTTAGCACTAAGGTTGTATTAAAGACTGGATTTTGATCACTGTGGTATTTTTAAAAAATAAATTAGTGGAACGGAGTTGATTTTAAATGTCTGTCATTTTTTAATGTGAGAAATTGGTAATATGGAGTGAGAGTGTGTGAAGACACTGAGATGGGTGAGTCTCCCTCCGAATGGGTGAGAGTTGACAGCCCTGCAAATATTTAACCATTTCCAGCGATCTACACTTTACTAAAACCGTATCTGTTCATAAATCTGCCATTTGGTTTTTGTCCCTTACATTTATCATCTATAAAATTGTGCTAATGAGTAAGTAAATATGACCAATAACCTTAGCCATCATTGTTAACAGCCACGTTTGTCTTTAAATAAAATTAGTTCTCAAATGTCATATGCCTTTTGAGATGAGACGTTTTCCAGGTTTTGGTGAATATTTTCAGAGGCAGCTGCAAAGACTTCCCTGCAGGTGCTTAATGGTGGCTAAGTATTGAATGAGGCCGCTATGAAGCTTCCCTTGTGTTGGAGCGATTTATTCTTTATGTCTTTATCCATTTGAATTGTGTTTGTTTATTCCTTAATGTATATTTTTTGTATTATTTACAGAGTTTATCTGCAGGTGAATAATTGTTGATTCTATTTATCTTTGTTTTTTTTCTTTTTTTATTCCTGTTCTAAGGTAAGACAGGAAGTAATGTGGATCAGTCCACTTTCTATAAGTGTAGAGGCCTTGGAAAGGACCAGCAGCCATTTTTTGGGTTTGGTGCCTATGGTTTTTAACCAGAGCAAGAGAGGCAGCAGAAAGGACAAAAGCAACGTTTTAACTCTGTAATTATTGGCTGAAATAGAAAATAAATCAACTAAAGCAGTTAACAAGTTTGGACATTGAACCTTCTTTTGCCTGCGTACAGAAACATGACCCCAGTGCCTCATTAGTGGCTTAATGGAACTTTAATTGAATCTTTGGCTTGGCAAAAAAAACACCACTTCACCTTGTTCCTACATTTTTAATGCACACATTTACAAACTAAAATAGAGGTTTGAACCATACTCTTAAAATAAAACATACAATATACATATATGGGGGTGTGCAGGTGGCGCAGTGGTTAGTGCGGACGATCCATGTATGGAGGCCTTAGTCCTCCACGCAGCTGAGCTTTGCCGCATGTCTCTCCCCCTCTCTCATACCTCCTTTCCTGTCAGACTACTGTGGAAAAAATGAGCCACTAGTGCCATAAAAAAAAACATATATATGGAGTAAAGTGTAGTATATAAAGTGTTAAATTCAATTAACAGGAAATTTGGGGCCCTATAGGCAAAGACAGGCAGGGGGCCCTCTGGATGGAGAAGCTAACACATAAAACAGACCCATTCTACAGATAGAGAAATGTTAATAGAATAGACATCCATTATCTGTTCTAGGTTGTGTCCCTCTCTTC